CCCCCCCCCGCCCCCGGCGCTTCCTGCAAGCGGGAACTCGCCCGGCGCGCCCCACGCCGCCCCGGACGCCAGCGCCTGCACGTTACAGCGCCTCCGCATGGCCGGGAAGCCAGAGGGGCCACCGGGGCGCCCGGTCCCACCTCTGTTGGGCCGCACCGTTTTCCCTGCAGGCCACCACTCTTTTTCCTTCGAAATACCCTAAAGAATCCACTAGCCCGAGCAGGGCTTGGGCGGCAGAAATTGGTTGATAGGTGGTGGTTTGGCTGAGCGATAGAGTTCTTGACCCACCTCGTCTCTGCTCTTAGCGGACTAACCCACATCCCATACCTTCCTGAGAGAATCTGTTCTCCCCCTCTTCGGGCCACCGCCCTCACCCCCCCAGTCTCCTCCACCCATGCCCAGTTTGGGCCTCAGGGCCGGTGAGTTAGATTTGAGTTAGACGATTTTATCAGAAGGTACAGGGCAGGGGAAGATGTCCTAGGAGGTTCAGTTTACAAACTACAACTCCTTAGAAGTTTCAGTTGAAGTGACTGTCATTGCTATTAAAGGTAACCATTCAAGAATGTCACTCGTTTCTATTCCTAGCTGAGTGAGCCCTTCATAGTCTGTCCTCAGACTCCCAAGAATTGAGACTCCAGCGCGTTTCCTCGTTGCCTTTAATTATAATAACACCCTGTATGTGTTGTGTAGAATGTTCTACTTTTCAAAGTCTACCTGTCGCAGTATTTGACTTTGTGATCCCAGGTCCTGTGGGAGTGAGTTGGGATGAGGTAAGAAAGTTGCCACACAGAGAGGCCAGCTGCCGTGATGGAGATAAGGTCCATTTACTGCGTGTCTGCTTGTGCTAGATGCTATGCTTCCCCATACTTTTTTTTACTTAAAAAATTTTTAAGGTTTATTTTTAAGAGAGAGAGTGAACAGGGAGTGGGGGGAGAGGCGCAGAGACAGGGAGACATAGAATCTGAAGCAGGCTCTAGGCGCTGAGCTGTCAGCACAACAGAGCCCAATGTGGGGCTCGAACTCACACAGACCTGGAGATCATGACCTGATGCTTAACCGGGTGAGCCACCCAGGCACCCTGCTTCCTGGCTACTTTACATCCATTAACTCTGAGCTCCACTAAATTTTTGCAAGTGTTATTTCAATTGTTTGAAAGAGGACATAAGGCAGGGAATGTTTGCAGAGTGGACAGATCCCTGTCCAGTCCTCACTGCAGACCTTGTGGAACAGGATGGTGCCTGGCTGCCTGTAGCTGACTGCTCATGGAGCTAAGAGTTCACGGAGAACCACACCAAGATACTGGTTCATGTATGTCCTCAACAAACTGAAATCTGAGATTGGTCATTTCTCAACATGCCTCACAACATTTACTCCCCTGCACTGTATCCCTTTTATTTCAAGTCCCTGCCCTCATTGTAGGGTCACCCCAGTTTTCCTTGTGGTACCATGTTACTACTGAGTGACTCAGGCCACATCGTTGTGCCATTAAGAGCCCACATGTCCCACACCTGAGGCTATACTGCTGGAAGATGTTCAAGTTCTGAGGGCAGCTGAACAGGCCATTTGCTCAGTCAGCGATCCAAATGGTGGCTTCCAAACACTCAGGACAACCTGCTGCCCCTGCCTCCTGGGGAGGCGGCTCCTGTGTGTTTG